GCTACCGTAGCAGAGGCGGGCCGGAGCTCCCCGGCTGCCGTAGTGGAGGCGGGGCCGGAGCTCGCCGCCGCGGAACCCAGATCCCTTAGGCTATCCCCGCAAACTCTGACCTTTCCGTGGGTGACTGAAGATCTCCCCGGAATCCACGTGTCTGCGCAGCTCTGGGAGTCTCAGCTGCTCGATGGACCTCCGGGCTGTGCGTTTTCCACGCCTCAGAGAAGCTCTTTCCTTCCTGGCAAGACAATGCAGCCCTTCCTCCACGCCCGCAGCCCACCGCACGCTGCCTCCGCTGCCCCCGCCGCTGCTGCTGCTGCTGCTGCTGCTGCTGTTGCTGCTGCTGCTGCCGCGGCCGTCCTGGCCACTTGGTCAGGAAATCCTGTCCAGCGGACTCTCCCTTACCCTCCTTGAGAGCTCCGCTGTCCCTTAGCTGCCAATCAACTCTCCCTGAGCGACTCAGAAGCCCCCTTTATCCGTTCTGGGACCAGAGTCAGAATAGGTCCGACTGTTCGGTCGCCATCTTCAAGCTCTGATTTTAATTTATAATATTTTCTTTTTCCCCCCTAATATTTTATTTTTTTATAGAGAGGAAGAGAGAGGGATATAGTTAGGAACATAGATGAAAGAGAATCATCGATCAGCTGCCTCCTGCACACCCCCTACTGGGGATGTGCCCGCAACCAAGGTACATGCCCTTGACTGGAATCGAACCCAGGACCCTTCAGTCCGTAGGCTGACACTCTATCCACTGAGCCAAACCCCTAATATTTTAGATTATTTTACCCTCTCCTAACTTTCTCAAGTCCTTTTTTCTAACTTTCTAATGTTATCTCAATCTTCTCTCCTCTTCCTTCTGAGTCCTTACCATTTCTTCACCACCCCTTAAGCTTTCATATCTCTGTGCTATATATGGCACTTTCTCCAGCTGCTTAGGCTCTTCACCTTTAATTTCTGCACATACTTCTCCCTCCAAATAAAATAAAACTATTAGCCACTTTTTAAGAATTTTTTTTTTTTTTTTATTGACTTCTGAGAGAGGAAGGGAGATAGAAGCATCAATGATGAGAAGGATTCATGGATTGGCTGTCTCGTGCACACTTCCTACTGAGGATCAAGCCCACAACCCAGGCATGTGCCCTGACCAGAAATATAACCATGACCTCCTGGTTTATGGGTTGCTACTCAACCACCGATCCACATTGGCCAGGTTATTAGCCACTTCCCACCCGCCCCCCCGAACTTTTATTCATTTGCTAAAGCATTTGTTGAGTATTACAGTTGCGTCCTTCCTCTAGGACAGGAATTGTTCCGTCCACTTTAATAGACACTTATAGTGTGTAGTATCTGGCACATGTAAGAACTTTGAGAGCACGGTTGAATGAACGATAAGTCCTGTGAGTTTTTTTTTTATAATTAGAGATGATTTCAGAGATAGGCACTCCAGACATAATCTCCATACCTCAGGGAAAAGATTGAAAACCTTTACAAGCAGATTGTTAGCTGTTCTATTGTTGAGTGATGTCTTAAAAACCTTTATTGATAGCCTTTTCTAGTACCTACTACCCCAACTAACATAGGAAGAGCTCCCTTTATCCAAATGAAAATTACTTTTTTCCAGCAAAGACACGTTCTGTCTTGTTCTCACTAGAGAACCAGCTGCTGTTTCTGGGTCCTTTTTATTATGATGTTCTTCTATGCCAGTTTTTTCATCGTACAGTATGTGAGCCAGAGGGACCTGTAGAAGTGGGTGGTGGCTAGAGACTGGGGATGCAACAAGTATTTATATAAATGGGGTTAACAGGTAATGAAAAAGGAGAGAGCGAATAAAAAGAGTAATGAACGTGTTTGGAAGTAGTTTTTAAACAGATGTGAAGGTAGTATTTGAGGGTTTTCTTGTAAGAACACGTGGGCTGGGCTATAATGTAATCAGAAACTCCGCAGCTGGAAGACCTGTTAACTATCTTTTATGCCTCATTTATACTCTTTAAATGTTCTGCTCTCTCTCTGTATGTGCTACTGCCATTACTCTTCATCTACTCTATAACTTCAGTTACAGCAAGGCTTTCTTTGCCTTGCCCCTGCCTTTCCAGCCTGTCTTCTGATTCCTCACTCCTTTTCTCTGTCTCTGTATTTTATGTAATTCATATAACACAATTTTATATAATTCACATAATGTAAAATTTACCTCTTTAAATAATACGGTCATTGGTTTTTACAATATCCATAAAGTTGTGCAACTATCACTACTATCTAATTCCAGAACATTTTTATTATCCTAAAAAGAAACCCAAACCCTATACCTATTAGCAACCATACCCTCCCTCTCTCCCCCCACCCTTTTCTCCCATTCCTAGGGAACCACTTGTCTACTTTCTGTCTTTATAGATTTGCCTATTCTGGATATTTCATGTAAATGGACATATAATATGTAGTCTTTGTGATTGTTTTCTTTCATTTAGCATGTTCTGAACTTCATCTACATTGTAGCATGACCCTGTCATCTCTAGCCACTGCCCTTTTGTCAACTTAACTCACACTATCTCTAGTTGTATCTTTCCCACTCTGACTTCACCACTAATGGCCTGTTTCTGTTAACCAGTTCCAGGCTCTTTTGAGCAGTGCTGTGCAATAGAGCTTTCTTTGATAATAAAAATGTTCTGTATCTCTGCCGTCCTATGCAGTGGCCTCTAGTCACATGAGGCTAATGTGACTGAGGAACTGGATTTTTCCCCCCTTATTTTGTCTTTTAATTATTATCTGTGCTTCTCTCTCATCATTGATGTTTCTATCTCTTTCTCCCTCTCCCTTCCTCTTTGAAATCAATAAAAATATATGTTAATGCTAGGTTCAGTAAAGGTGATGTGAGAATAGCCCTGGTGAGTGATCAGTTACAAGAGATTTTGGAATTAAAAGACCGTGGTTGAGCTGCTTTCATAGATTCATCATTCTCAATGTTCTTCAAATACTATTCAAAGGTAGCAGTGGAATATATCCCAGGAAATCAGAAACACCATTCAGAAAGGATATATGCACCGCGGTGTTCATAGCAGCATAATTTCCAATAGCTAAGATTTGGAAAAAGCCTAAGTGCCTAACAGCAGATAAATGGATTAAAAAAACTATGGTACATCTAGACAATGGAATACTACCCTGCTGTGAAAAAGAAGGAATTCTTACTATTTGCAACAGCATAAGATGGACCTGGAGAGCATTATGCTAAATGAAATAAGCAAGTTGGAGAAAGATGAATATCACACGATCTCATTTGTGGAATATAATGAACAATATAAACTCATGAACAAAACTAGATTCAGAGATATGTAAGTGTTGAACAGACTGTCCAACCTCAGAGGGAAGGCAGGGCAAAAGGGGAGCGGGCTAAGAGAACAACCAAAGGACTTGTATGCATGCATAAAAGCATAACCCATGGACACAAGACAGTAGGGGGGTGGGCATGTGCTGGTGGATGGGAAGGGCTGGGGAGGTCAATGGGGGAAAAAGACATATGTAATACTTTAAACAAAGAATTTTTAAGAAAACATATAAAAACTTACATTTCCTTTAATGAAAACTATTATTTTATTTAGGGTTAGATATTAAAACATGGCAAATTTGAATATGGTGATGTGTTCTGGATTAAACAGCCAACATTAGCATAAAAGTAGATTATTAAAACTTTTTGAAATTTAAGTTGTTACTGGTCTTAAAACAATGGTAGGGAAGGTCTGATTTATTTTGAATGGTAGAAATATTTGTAGTGTAAGAATTCCCTGAGGTTCTTGGCAATTGCAGGGATAGCAATGAAAGTATGAGCATTACAAGTTTGGTATGAGAGGATTGGAGGAGTTTGTTGTAATGGTTGCAGTTGGTAAGGGAACTAACTGGTAAAGTCTTGGAAAAGTAGCATTAAATTGGATAACTTAGAAACAATAAAATCTAGAATGATGACATCATTGTTTATGTTTATGTAACAACTAAAAGCCTGGGGCAAGGGTGTTTGGGTGCACAGGTGTTTGGATGCACAGGTGTTTGGCCGGCTGGCCCTGCTGCTGCCCTCCTCCCCAACTGGGGACAGGGCTGGCCAGGGGGAGGGGCCTCGGGCGGTTGGCTGGCTGCCCCATCCCCTGGTTGAACTGTTCCAGGGGCAATTTGCATATTAGCCCTTTATTATGTATAACAATTACTTGTTAGAGTTTAAGAGGCAAAACTGTTTTGGTCAGGGGGCCTATCTCGAGAGCACCAGAATTGAGCACATGAGACATTCAAAGACCAACATTTTTTTTTTTTTTAAATATTTTATTGATTTTGTACAGAGAAGAAGGGAGAGAGATAGTTAGAAACATCCATGAGAGTCATCGATAAGCTGCCTCTTGCATCCCCCCCCACTGGGGATATGCCCGCAACCAAGGTACATGCCCTTGACCAGAATCGAACCTGGGACCCCTCAGTCCCCAAGCCGACGCTCTATCCATTGAGCCAAACCGGTTCCGGCCAAAGACCAACATTTTAATCAGTCCATAGCTTAGGCCTTGGAAATCAAGTGCTTCTGTTCTGATGTCTACTGAAAGAAAACTTTTAAACTATCATTGTATTATTGGAGTCCTGAATCTTAAAATTAATAGTTCTTTGTTTATTTTATGGACATTTAAAAAACCCTTTGTTAAAAGTATTAAAATTTGCTTTAGAAACTCTGCCTATTAAATTCTTCTGAGAATTCTCATGCTAGATAAAGAATAAGTGACACTCAGTTTCTTAATTACAACCTAGGATGTCCTCATCAGAATGGCAGCTTTAGTTTGGGATCTGAATCTAATGCAAGGGGTGACCATTGTGAGGGAGGACCTGGGAACCCTGGTAAATTGAATAGATGTCATGAAAGGAAGTAGACCCCTCCCCCCACCCCCCCATTTTCCCAGGAACTAGTTGAGATCTTTAAAGGAAACAAAACTCCCTCTAGAGAGCAACATGAATGCATAATAGTAGTTTTATTTTATCTAATGCAGCTCAAAGAAAATGAACGGCACCCTGGACCACCCAGACCAACCGGATCTTGATGCTATCAAGATGTTTGTGGGCCAGGTTCCGAGGACCTGGTCTGAGAAGGACTTGAGGGAACTCTTTGAACAGTATGGTGCTGTCTATGAAATCAACGTTCTAAGAGATAGGAGCCAAAACCCTCCTCAGAGCAAAGGTGAAGATTTGGGTTTTATGTGCAATTTTTTGTCATGTACATACTGTCTCATTGTCAGAATGATCCTATGGTCATATTGGGAGGGGGGAATGTGTTCTTTTATAGTCCCTATATATTCCAGGCCAAACTCACTTAATGACTTAAAAATAAAACATGAAAGTGACTTCATGAGGTTGATTTGTAATTTGGATAGTCCATTTAGTAAACTACTAGTCATATAAGGTTTTCTTTAGTGTTTTGGCTTTGGCAAGCAATTCTAATGGGAGGGGAAGGCCATGGAAAGAAAAAGACCGTCCCTGAACTCATGGGTTTCTGTTAATGTGTATAAAGGCCTTACAGGATGGCTTAGCATCTAGGAGAGCCTTTTTTGTAGATAACTTGTTTGCTATAGCTTATAAAATGAACAGGAGAAGAAAGGTTGGACTGCTTCCAGATATATCCCACAGAGTGGAAGTTTCACAGGACTGATGGTGATAAGGCATAATCTTTGCCCCTTCACACAGAGACATACTCTTATTTTTCCAAGTGACCGACTCAGAGTAATTTTCAGTGAAAGCTGTTCTTCTACAGTGCAAATATCAACAAATATGATTGCCATGTTTGTAAACCGGTTTAATAACAGGATCTAGAAGCAGAGGGATTAATTTTTATTTTTGACATAGTTAACGAAAATACAAATTATTGTAGTTTCAGCTCTGGCTGGGTAGCTCAGTTGGTTAGAGTGTCATCCCAATATACCAAGGTCGCAGTTTTGATCCTCGTTCAGGGCTCATACAGGAATCAACCAATGAATGCATAAATAAGTGTAACAATAAATCGATGTGGTCTCCCTCCCACCCCCTTGCTTCCCCTCTTTCTCTAAAGTCTTGTATTTTCTAAAAATGACTGGCAATATAATGTGCAGTAATTTAAATCTTAATTGCAGAGTAATTTTTAAAGACATCTATATTGTGTCCTTGGACTATGGACCCAAGATTTACAAAATATATCTCCTCCCTCCTATCCCCAGCAAAGATAAGCACAAAACTTACAGATCTCAGTCAGCACCATGTGATGCTAGAAACTCAATATTTGATGGGAACTAAGAGTCCCCCAGAAAAGATACTAAGAAATTTTATAGTTTAAAATGATAATTATGTTTGAGGCATATGATAGAAATTGGCTACAATGTAAGGAGTGGCTTATTCTAAAAGAGAAAGTTTCTGAAAGATGAAGAGCTTCTGGTAGACGAAGAGCCGCAAGTGTTCAAGGTCCCTCTTTGTCTTGTTTGTATTGAGTCCTCTAGCCCAGCACACTGCCTGATAGGGTGGGTTGAATGGCTTGGTAGTGTGACCTTTGTAAGGGAAGTCATCTCTCCCAGAGATGTTATAGGAGCAGCTAGAGAAGAATTTTAATATAAATAAGAGACTATAACAATAAAGAGAATGCATAGAAAAAAAAAGTTTGTTTTTTTTTTCCTGCTAGGTTTTCTCTCTAATTTTAATAAACATTATCTTTTCTTCTTAAGTTCTAATACATGGTGGAGCTAAAGTAGATTTACAGTTTGTTTGGGGAATAATGCAATAAATACTAATGGTGCAAGAATAAACTCTTTTGCATACTCACAACTGTAAACCTACTTTTGCCCAAACCCTGTATGTCCAGGAAGTACTGAGAGCTCTAGGAATTCTCTACTTCAAAGGACTGGTTTGATTTGTGAAATCGTCTTTATTGCAGGGTGCTGTTTTGTTACGTTTTACACCCGCAAAGCTGCATTAGAAGCACAGAATGCTCTTCACAATATGAAGGTCCTCCCAGGGGTAAGAAAGCTCCTACTAAGTGGAACTGTGGTGGTATTGACACATGGAACCTACTTACATGTATTAGATACACATTGAAAACCATTTTGGGGAAAGGGTGACTTTCACAAGAATGGATGTAAAGGGAACTTTTAAAGATTATCGGCTGAAAGTAGTTCTTTCTCAGCCAAGAGAATTTTTACTTCTTGATTCAGAGTTCTATCCATTCTAATACTTTATGGTGCAAAGATCATGAAGCAAGTGTAAGTTCAAGAGAACTCTTACAGGCTCTAGTTTTGGTATTTCTTTAGAGTCCTCATTTATATTTCTGCTTCAGTGTGTACAGTGGTAATATTCACATCTTCTCCTTTTCAGATGCATCATCCTATACAGATGAAACCTGCTGATAGTGAGAAGAGCAATGGTAAGCAAGCATGTAGGCCCTCCCTTTATCAGGTTTTTTTCTAGTTTGCAGTTCTCTTGGCATCTGATTGCATTGTACTCTGAGTAATTTCTTTTTGAGGTAGAAGTGACATAGAGCATTATATTAATTTCAGGTGTACAGAATAATGTTTTGATAAATATTGTGAAATGATCAGGCTAGTTAAAATCTTTCACCGTACATGGTCACAAAAATTTTTTCTTATGATGAGAACTTTTAAGATCTACTCTCTCGGCATCTTTCAAATATGCAGTATAGCATCAACTGTAGTCTCCATGCTACACCCTACATCCTCATGACTTATTTACTTCATAACTGGAAGTTTGTACCCTTTGGGCCCCTTCACTGGCAACCATCGGTCTGTTTTCTGTATGAGTTTGGGATTTTCTTTTCTTTCTTTCTTTTATTTTTTAAGATTCCTCATAGAAGAGAGATCATACTGTATTTGTCTTCTCCTGTTTGACTTATTTCACTTAGCATAATGCCCCAAGTTCATCCACGTTGTCACAAATGGCAAAATGTTATTCATTTTTATGACTGAATAATATTTCTCTGTGTTTGTGCGTGTGCCGCGCACACACATTTTCTTCATTTATCACTGTAACGTTAGTTGTTTCTGTATTTTGGCTGCTGTAAATAGTGCTGTAATGGAAATAAATATGCATGTGTCTTTTTGAATTATTGATTTCATTTTTGACAGATAAATACCCGTAAGTTGAATTGCTGGATCATATGGTAGTTCTAGTTTTAATTTTTTGAGGAGCTATCATACTGTTTTCTATAATGGTTTCACTAATTTACATTCCCACTAACGGTGCACAGGGTTCTTTTTTCTCCAATCTTGGCCAAAATTTGTTCCTTTTTTGGCTTGCTTTGTTTTTGTTAATTCTTATCGCAAGATGTTATTCCCATTGATAATTCTTTAGAGTGCAAGGTGGGGGGGAGCGAACATCAGTGTGAGAGAGACACATCTAGTGGTTGCCTCACACACATTCCTACCGGAGCCGGGGGTAAAACCTGCAATCCAGGTACATGCCCTTGAACCCTCGGCCCTCTGGTTTGCAGAACAACACTCTAACCACTTAGCTGTGCCAGTCAGTGCCCTTTCTTAGTTTGTGATAATAGCCATTCTAAGGGGTGTAAAGTGATACCTCACTGTGGTTTTTATTTGCATTTTTCTGATGACTAGTATTTTCTCCCATTTTATAGGTTGCTTTTTCATTTAGTTGATGATTTCCTTTGCTGTGCAGAAGATTTTTGGTTTGTAGTCCCGCTTGTTTATTTTTGCTTTTGTTGCCTTTACTTTGGAGTCAGATCCAAAAAAGGCATTGCCAAAACTGATGTTAAGGAACTTACCAAGTATGGTTTTCTTCTAGGAGTTTTATGTTTTCGAGTTTTATATTCAAGTTTAATCCATTTTAGTTAATTTTTAAAAAAATATATTTTATTGATTTTGTACAGAGAGGAAGGGAGAGAGAGAGTTAGAAGCATCGATGAGAGAGAGTCATCGATCAGCTGCCTCCTGCACACCTCCCACCGGGGATATGCCCGCAACCAAGGCACATGCCCTTGACCGGAATCGAACCCGGGACCCTTCAGTCCCCAAGCCGACGCTCTATCCATTGAGCCAAATCGGTTTCGGCCATTTTAGTTAATTTTTTAAAAATATATTTTTATTGATTTCAGAGAAGAAGGGAAAGGGAGAGAAAGCTAGAAATGTCAGTGATAAGAGAGAATCAATGATTGGCTGGCTCCTGCACACTTCACACTGGTGATTGAGGCTGCAATCCAGGCATATGCCCTTGACTGGAATTGAACCCAGAACCCTTCAATATGCAGATTAATGCTCTATCTGCTGAGCCAAATTTTAGTTAATTTTTGGTGTATTGTATAAGATAGTGGTTCATTGCTCTAATGTCATCTAAATTGTCTATTTTTTTATTTAAAGTAAGTATGGCAAATAACATAAATAGAGTTGATAGGGAAACATTACAAGAATTTTTTATAGTGAACTGGAATGTCTTTGGTCAGTATAATTTCTTAAGAGTAGAAGTGAAGAGGGAAAATGAGCAAGTTAGGAAGGAGAACTTAGTCCTCAAAAGAACAGTCAGGCCCTAACTGGATTGGCTCAGTGGATAAAGCGTCGGCCTGCAGACTGTAGGGTCCCAGGTTCGATTCCTGTCAAGGGCATGTACCTTGGTTGCAGGCACATCCCAGTATGGGTGTGCAAGAGGCAGCTGATCTTTCTCACTCTCTATCCTTATCCCTTCCTCTCTGTAAAAAATCAATTAAAAAAATATATTTTTTAAAAAGGACTGTCTGAAAAGGAAAGGATATAGTTAGACTCTCTGTAAGGTATGTCCTGTTTCATATTAATTAAATGTGCAAACTCATTTTATGTCATAGTATATTACTGAGTGGTAGGAGAGCCTAAGAACTGTGCAGTCAACCATATTTACCTACTAGTCAGGTGAGGAAATAGGCACAGAATGGTTAAGTAACTTTTCACAAGCTAATAAAGCTACTTCATTTCCTCTAAGTGCTTTTTAAAAAAATATATATTTTATTGATTTTTACATAGAGGAAGGGAGAGAGATAGAGAGCTAGAAACGTCGATGAGAGAGAAATATTGACCAGCTGCCTCTTGCACACCCCCTACTGGGGATGTGCCCGCAACCATGCCCTTGACCGGAATCGAACCTGGGACGCTCTACCACTGAGCCAAACTGGCTTTGGCTCCTCTTAAGTGCTTTCAGTGATAATGTTAAGATACCATTGTTTATAAGAGGAAGTACTCACTTATGGGGAGAAAGGTACATCATATAATCTGTGAAATATGGTATAAATGCACCAGAGCCAGGTGTCAAACCCAGAGTCTGTGCTCTACTGATATCTCTTGTAGTAATAATGTTCAAGCCTTATGTGTTTTACTCTCCTAGCAGTGGAAGACAGGAAGCTGTTTATTGGTATGATTTCCAAGAAGTGCACTGAAAATGACATCCGAGTCATGTTCTCTTCATTTGGACAGATTGAAGAATGTCGGATATTGCGGGGACCTGATGGACTGAGCCGAGGTGGGTACATTTTTAAACTTTAAAGATACTCATCTTGTCCTGGGTGGGTTAGCTCAGTGGATAGAAAGTTGGCCTACGAAATGGAGGGTCCCAAGTTCAATTGGGGTTGGTGTGGGAGGCAGCCAATCAATAATCAATGATTCTCTCTCATCATTGATGTTTCTGCCTCTCCTCTGAAATCAATAAATTTTTTTTTTTTTTTTTTTTAAAGGATACTCATTTTGCCCTGGTCTGGGTAGCTCAGTTGGTAAGAGTATTGTCCCGATATGCCAAGATTGCAGGTTTCATCCCCAGTTGGGGTACATATAAGAATCAGCCAACTAATGAATAAATAAGTGGAACAATAAATCCATGTTTCTCTATATAAAATTTATATGCATATTTTGAATTTGGAGTTGTTGTTTTTAACCTGACCAGTGGAAACCAGTAATCCCTAGCCAATATGGCTCTGTCATGATGGAGAAGTTGGGCTTGAAGTTGTATGTGTAGGTCCTGTCACAACTCTTCCTTAATTTGATCGCTTTTGTGTTCTCCCAACATCCTTAAGGAGTTTATATTCTGTTCTTGGTGTCATGTATCAAAATTCTCTCTTTTATGCTTAGAGAGGTTCTTGATGTTAAAATGGAAACACTTTCTTCACAGGAGAAACTTGAGGCTGTGAATCTTCCTTTATTTTTTTCGCACTCTGTTTCTTATTTCTGCTTCCCTGGGTTTTCATTAGAGCACTTATAACTCTGGTGTAACATAACTCTCTCTTCCAGTAGGTCATGAAACCCTGAAGGCAGAAATCATCTATACTTATTGCTAGCATGGTACTTGCTCATAGTTAAGTGCTCAGTTAATGTCTGTAAGTAAGCGAATAAATGAGTTATTGACCCTTCTTTTACCAGGTTGTGCATTTGTGACTTTTACAACAAGAGCAATGGCACAGACAGCTATCAAGGCAATGCACCAAGCACAGACCATGGAGGTAGGAAGATGAATGCAAGGGGGAATTCCTTAGCCTGAGATTGCGAGGAGTTTTGATCTTCCAAGCCCAGCATCATGTACGGCATCTAGTGGTTCTAAAAGTTAAGCAGGCCAAACGTCTTAAAAGTTAAAACAAACAAGCAAACAAAAAAAAGTCTTAAAACTTTTTTAAAAAAGTTAAAAACTGAAGGTTTCTTTAACATATTGGATGTTATTAAATGAAAGTTAAAATTAACATATTGGAACTAGTTGCCTTTTTAAATTGTCTTTTGCCACTTACATGTATTAGGAAGAGAGACATTTGGCAGTGAATGAAATTAGAATGCAGCCTGTGTGTCACTAGCAAGGATTTTTCCTTCACCCAGAAGGAGGGATTTGACCCTTTGGTTTTGGTGTTTTCATAGGGTTGCTCATCCCCCATGGTGGTAAAATTTGCTGATACACAGAAGGACAAAGAACAGAAGAGAATGGCCCAGCAGCTCCAGCAGCAGATGCAGCAAATCAGCGCAGCATCTGTGTGGGGAAACCTTGCTGGTCTCAATACTCTTGGACCCCAGTATTTAGCAGTGAGTCTTTGTGGTTTGCTTTCTGCAGACTGTGCAAGCTCCCAGCTGTTTCTTCTTCTGCTATCCCCAGCACACAGACATAGTGGCATTTACAACTTTTAGCACATTGAAATTTTATGTAAAAATTCAGGCAATGAAGTGTTCTTTAAGTCATGTTATTTTCTCTATCTGGTCACACATCTTTGGTTATATCTTGAGGTTTTGGTTATATCTTGAGTTAAAGTGAAACCATAATTTTCTGATACAAAGTGTTTCCGGAACATCTTATGTTCCTACTGTCAAGGAAAAAAAAAATTCTTGAGGGAATCTTAACTACAAAATACCTTTTTCTATATCCTTTTCTACCCAGTGTAGAAGGCATCATTAAATACCTTGTTGATTCTCCCAGAAGAGTACAATAAGTGTTTCTGCTGATTGAGAGATGAGGCATGGGCATTATGAAATGAGTATTACAGCTTTATATTTGAGTTTGCTATGCTGTAAGTAGATTTCTTTTAATTTGATCTCTTGTTGAGTTTAAGTTATATAGTCCAAAAGAGGGACAGGCTCCATTTTATTATTAAGATTTACTAGGTTTACAGTATTACTGGAGAATTGCATTGCTTAAAACTTTAAAGAGCCAAACCGGTTTGGCTCAGTGGATATAGTGTCTGCTTACGGACTGAGAGGTCCCAGGTTCGATTCTAGTCAAGGGATTTACCTTGGTTGTGGGCACATCCCCAGTATGGGGTGTGCAAGAGGCAGCTGATCAATGTTTCTCACACTATCCCTCTCTCTCCCTTCCTCTCTGTAAAAAATCAAATATATATAATATATATATATATATATATTAAACACACTTTAAAGAGATTTAGAACGGACATATATATATTAAACACACTTTAAAGAGATTTAGAACGGACAACATAATTAAAACTGTGCTATCTGTAAATCAGAACGAAAAGGTCATCTGTAACGCTACCAATGAAGGAAAATAAATAGTGAGACCACTAGATGTATATGAGTAGTCAAAAAGTATACACATAGGATAATAATAGTCATCCATTCAAAGATTATTCTCTGTGGAAACAACAAAAGACAATGGTTTCTGCCCTCCCAGTACTAAATTTTGACTAATTTGATGCCTCCTGTCTCCATACTTCTAATATGTTAGAGGAAATCCAAGTTTCTCTGAAGTCCAAAAGTGAAGATGATTGTTCTATTTCAATAGATCAAATTGTTTCTTAGTGCCAGAACATTGCTTAAAAGTTTAAAAAATTCAGAGGTTTTAGTCTTCTGCCAAAATGATAATTCTTTGAAAATTATCTCCATGATACACATTTACTTCTTAGAGCATTATAGAGCCTTTTTTCAGGGAATAGTCTTCATCTTGTTCTCATTGCCACGTCCAGCAAGTATGTTGAGAACTATGGTCTCTTTAATTTAGGTGTGACCCTCCTCCCTATAGCTGTTCTCATTTAGGGAAGAAATGAAGGGGACAAATACAGTATGCACAGTCCACCAGCTGGGACTGAACACATTGTCCAAGGATTTAACACAAAAGTGAAGGCATGGGTGCTAATGGGCTGTGTAAGTGATAGTGCATCATCATTCATTATGAGTTTTTTTTTTTTTTTTTCTGGAATATGTGGATTGAACCTGATCTCTATTGGACCAGAGTGGTGGTTTTAAAATTTTTTGGGTATTGTGGACCCCTTTTAGAACCTGATAAAAATCGTGTACATGTGCATTTTTTTTTTCCTCCTCATCCTGTTTCTGGAGATTTGAAGATCTCCTGAGACCTGTGGATTAAAGGGATCTATGATAGAGAAACCAAGTCAGATGCTTGTAGGAATGGACAACAGGTTGAATAAAGGATCTATAGAAACAAGACTACCAATTGTTCATAATGAACAATATTGCATTTGAATGGAGCAAAGGTTTTCAGCAGGTTGGTTAGATGAAGATTATGGTTTACTAAGATACAAAAGAAGATCAAGGTCATGGGGATCCATAAGCTCATGGACAGGTCCTCTTGTTACATTTATTATGGACATCCATTGAAAGAATACGTACACTGAACTGATAAGGACTACTTCATCAGTCACTCGGCCATCTGCAACAGTGAAGATCAATTTGGAGGGGAGTAGATAACTGGGCTCAATGGACTTATAGCATGGGAGAAGTTGATTTAGACATGGGTCTGTTGTGGCTGGTAAAGTGTGATGCTAAGAAATACCACAAAATAGGGAGATGTTATATTTAAAATAAGATGTGTGGACGTAACTAAGGAGAACTTGGGATAGAGGAAATAGAAATGGCAGGCATCCACCCACAGACACTCACCGCGGTTAATCACAGAGCTGCTTGAGTTGAGCTTAGTTCCCTGCTCTACTTCTGTCCTCTGCTGTGCTGCATTCTGTTGCCTAAGCACTTGAGCTTGGCTCGGAACTCAATGAGCATTACTGTCTTCTGGGCCAGGGCTTTAGCTGTGTTGTATTGCATTGTGCTGTCATAAGCCTTATGTTTCTGTTGTGTTGGCTTGGGTTCTTGTCTTCAACGTTCTTCTCTCGGGGCCTCTGCACTCTCGCTTTGCTGTGCTGTAGAGTTATCCCAGATGCAGAACCAGCCCTCACTCTCACTCTTATTCTGTTTTTTGGTGTAATGTCTAGCTTTATTTGCAGCTCCTTCAGCAGACTGCCTCCTCTGGGAACCTCAACACCCTGAGCAGCCTCCACCCAATGGGAGGTAAGTGTCTCACTGTTGTGGAGGAGCAGCAGCAGCCAGGCCATCAGACACAGCTAAGAGCAGTCTGAGAGTTTGCACCGTTTGTGCAGAAAAAAGTTACTTACCACTCATGTAAACCTGGCATAAAATGAACATCACAGGATTCAACTGCCTTTTCTCTAGAAGGTGACTCTATTAGTCATTTATATTAGTCATTTATGCCAGATTGTCCTGGAGTTGTCTACTGCTTCCCACTCCTTTAAGTGTCTGTTGAGGAAGAAGATAGAAAAGAGTTAACATCTGCAGACTATCTGATGCCGTTTTAATCAGGAAAAAGTTGCAGGAATGCTTTATTTCCACCAAAACGTGACTTTTTCAATGACTGAAGAAAAGCCTGAGAATACTTTCATACAAATGGCTTACCTTGAAGTTGCTAGAATCCAGGCAGTTAGTTAGTTTACCTCTGTGTCTTATACATGTTATTTCATAGGTGAATTACCTTTTGTTGCGGTTATCATGCATAGAAAACCTAATTGACAAATACCTGAGTTTATAACAAAATGGAGCTCCACAGACAAGCCTGAGGCAAGGTCCATCAGAATACTTAGTGGGGGTGGGGACAGGAGCTCCCCCTGCCCCTTTGGCAGTGGGACAAGGCTAGGCAAGTGCATTTGAAATTGGGGTGGTCTTAGGTGAACGGCATTTATCATATGAAAAATTTTGATAGTGATTCACTTTTCCCCAAGGACTGAGAAAGTTGATACATTGTGAATCTGTGTTGTAGTTTTTATTCTCATTAATTCTCCCCTCCACCCCTCTGCCTGTGTCATCTACTAAATGGTTTGAAACACATTGTCAAGTTTCTTCTCCTTTTGTTGTTGCCTAGGTTCTACTTGGAAGTTTTTCCCTCAGTGTATTTTTCTCTCTTCAGATAACTAATCTGCTATTCAAGTGGTGTGTTTTTTTGTTTGTTTTTTTATTCTTTGTCCTCTTGCTATTCTCCCATGTATTCTCCCCTGTCGTTCCTTCCTTTCTGGGTCTCTGCTACATTTTCTGCTTGTTCACCTCCATTTCAAAGAGCACATCCCCTGTGAAGTCTGAGTGAGGGGCTCGGATACAGTGCCATTCTATGCCACAGGTGTGGGCATTGTTGTCCTCTTGGACACCTGAGCCCATGGCAGACCATGACCAACCCCCTTTGCTGGTTTCCTGATTGCCCTCCTTTTAGTAGTGTTCACGTGGGTGTGTGCTATAGAATCAGATACCTCTTCTCTGAGGAAATGATACCAAACTTCATAATGAGTTGAGGGGTATCTGAATCTTTTTGGAGCCCTGAAAAGTTGCTTGTAAGGCTTCTCTAGAATATTTCCTCTTTGGAACTAGCCTTCCACTGGTGTGAGCTGTTGTTCCCGGAGCGGATAAGGAGGCACTCTGATCTGCCCGCTGATCTCTTGCTTTGGATGTTGCAGGGTTAAATGCAATGCAGTTACAGAATTTGGCTGCCCTAGCTGCTGCCGCTAGTGCTGCTCAGAGCACACCTAGTGGTACCAACGCTCTCACTACATCCAGCAGTCCCCTCAGCGTACTCACCAGTTCAGGTAAGCATGTAGCGGGGGCCAGTGGGTCCTTGTGTGCCTTGGGCAGAATCCCAAGTGGGGTATGTCATTCTGAGAGCAGTTCATATCCATTTCCAAAGGGGACAGATTATGAACAACAAATTTTCAAATGCCATTTTCTAACTTTAGACATAGCTCATAATTTTTAATTTATTGTAACCATCATTTGTATTTATGTCCAACAGGGACAGTTATTAAAATTAGCAACTGAAAACTTTTTTCTAAGAGAATACTTAAGTAGTATCATTCTTGGGCTTTGGTTACTGCTGAGAAGGCAAATGTTGGCTTGAGTTTAACTCATGGATTTCTGGTTGCAGGGTCTTCACCGAGCTCCAGCAGTAGTAACTCTGTCAACCCCATCGCCTCCCTTGGAGCCTTGCAGACATTAGCTGGAGCAACGGCAGGCCTCAATGTCAGCTCATTGGCAGGTGAGAGGCAGTCCATGGATGTCATCAGGCCTTTCTTTGTGCAGGTAGCACATTATAAACAACCCTGGTAAGGGTACTCTTGTATGAACCAAAAAATTAATTATGAATTGCCCTGGCTGGTGCGGCTCAGTTAGGCATCATTCTGTGCACCAAAAGGTTGCTGGTTTGATCCTCTGTCAGGATTGTGGGTTTAATACCTTGTAATGGGCATGTAGGAGGCAGCTGATCAGTGTATTGCTCACATCTATGTGAGGACTGAGCCCACAACCCAGGCATGTATGCCTGACCAGAATCAAACCCAGGACCCTTGAGTCCACAGGCCAACGCTCTATCCACTGAGCCAAACCAGCTAGGGCAACTCTCTCCTCAAAAGCTTTTAAAAGACAATAATGATCATTAGTTAAATCACTCCTCTAGCACTAACCACCTATAACTTTCAACCACCTTTCCAAGGCCATTTTCTTTCTTTCTTTCTTTCTTTCTTTCTTTCTTTCTTTCTTTCTTTCTTTCTTTCTTTCTTTTTTTATATGTTTATTGATTTCAGAGAGAGGGGAAGAAAGAGAGAGGGAGAGGGAGAGAGAGAGGGAGAAACATTGATTGGATGCCCCATACTGGGGATTGAGCCCACAACCTGGGCATGTGCCCTGACCAGGAATTGAACTGGCGACCTCTTGTTGCATGGGTTGATGCTCAACTACTGAACCATACTAGCCAGGCTCCAAGGTCATTTTCTTATCTATGACATGGGAATAGGACACTTTGAGGGTTGTTAAGAAGTTAGATAAGAACACAGGTAAAGTGTAAGCACATTGTTCAGTACAGAGTGGCACATAGAATATCCTATATAGCCGAAACTGGTTTGGCTCAATGGATAGAGCGTTGGCTTGGGGACTGAAGGGCCCCGGGTTTGATTCCAGTCAAGGGCATGTACCTTGGTTGCGGGCTTATCCCCAGTAGGGGCTGTTCAAGAGGCAGCTGATCGATGACACTCTCTCATCGATGTTTTTAACTCTCTATCCCTCTCCCTTCCTCTCTGTACAAAATCAATAAAATATATATATATATTTTTAAAAAGAATATCCTATATAATAAAAGCCCAGCGACCAAACAGCAGAACAGCTGGTCCACCAGTCGCTATGATGCACACTGACCAACAGGGGGCAGGTGCTCAACGCAGGAGCTGCTCCCTGGTGGTCAGTGCACTACCACAGTGGGAGTGCTGCTCGGCTGACTGGAATGAGCTGGTGCGAAACTTGGGCTGACAGGAGGAACCTGAGCTGTGATCATGGCCTCCTTGCCCCAGGATCCTCCTACCTCCTCCGGATGCCTGCAGGCTGTGCAGTGCTGCCGCTGATCGCACAGAGCTGACCCCAGAGGCTGGGAGGCGGGTTCATGGCCGCTGAGGGACTGAGGCCTACTCTGCCTCAGTGCTGTTGTCCCTGGGCCCAACCCCGACCGAGACCCGAGGAGAGGCAAATGCTCCAGCTCCACGGGAGGTGCCAGACTAGGGAGCAGCTGCTCAGAGGGCGGGTCCACAGCCGCTCAGCTGACCAGGACGAGCCAAGCTCCCACAGCGGGCCGATTTCCTAGGCCACACCCTCACCAGTGCATGAATCCTGTGCACCAGGCCTCTAGTGTTCCAGAATGTTACTGCTGTTGTTAATGATAGAGTTTACCTACATCTTGTCACAGATCACATGTGCCCCCTTTTATTCCCAATCCTGGGACTCCTATTTACCAGATTCCAGCTCTGTGTGAGAAAGTGGCAGGAAAGCTAGAGAAAAGGGGGCAAGTCAGGTGTAAAATGTGGCACTTCCTGCACAGATTAGAAGGTAATGGGGAGAGCCGCTTCTGGGTGTGGCGTTTTTAATGCCCCCATTAGCAACAAGGTCTGGTGAGTGTCCTGAAGTCTGACCACTCATGGATATTCCTCCTCAGGGTGAAACTAGGAACAAGATGAAAGGGAGGACTTGGGATGTTTTCCTTGGCATCATGTGAGTCTTTCCAATACTGCTAATTCTGTTCTCTCCCCCAACCAAGGGATGGCTGCTTTAAATGGTGGCCTGGGCAGCAGTGGCCTTTCCAATGGCACTGGGAGCACCATGGAGGCCCTCACGCAGGCCTACTCGGGGATCCAGCAGTATGCCGCCGCGGCGCTCCCCACTCTGTACAACCAGAATCTGTTGACACAGCAGAGTATTGGTGCTGCTGGAAGCCAGAAGGAAGGTGAGTGCAAAGGGAGGCTGGGGTCTGGCGGGGGTGGTTTCTCCCATCTGCACCGGAACTGACTGGCAGGCAAAGGCTGAGAGTCCTTCAGGTGGCCAGACCACACTTTTCTTTAATGGTGTCAAAGACAGACTGAAACTCGTGAGTGTGACCTGCTTCTGGAATGTTTTCTGGGTCTGGCTCAGATCAGAACCTCTGCACCCTTCTGGGGTGGGGCTGCCATTTTTATTTTTATTTATTTATTTATTTATTTTTTAAATCAATCTTTATTGTTCATATTATTGTTCATATTATTCCTCATTTCTTCCCCCCTCCACCAGGTTCCCACCCCACCCTCCACCCCCTCCCTTTCCCCAATAGTAAATCCCTTTTAAGATAGTAAATCTGTTACTTAGCATTTTCTCATATCAATAATACCTCCACATGCCCAATGATACACTTCACACAAAAGACATTTCCCAATAGGTCCACCAGCCTCATCCAGGCCCCACCCAAGGCACTCACAGATCAACACCCCAGTCCTAAACTAACTCAACATATCCAGATCTAAGCCTTCATCACTTGATTCAGCAGACCCTCAAGTTCCCACGAAAGTTTCCAGCCATGTCTGAGAAGCAGCCGTGGGGCAGGGGCAGGCAAGGAGCGAGCTGTTCTGGGCCTGGCTGCTCAGGGCCTGGCCTCTGTTGCTCTGGTTCATTCCACAACCAGCTGCTCCGGGTCTGGTCACTGCCGCTCCCGACCTAGTTGCTCTGGACTTGGCTGCTGCTGCTCCGGGCCTGGCTGCTCCCAGCCTGGCAGCCGCTGCTCCGGGCCTGGCCGCACCCGACCCGGCTGCTCCCCCGGGCCTGGCCGCTCCCAGCCTGGGGGCTGCCATTTTTAGATGGAAGATATCTACCACCTTACTGTGTCTGACACATTGGCAATTAGGAAGCCTTCCCTCTGGGTTATAAATCTGTCAAAGGATATCTTCTGGGGAGGTGTTCCTTGTAGCTTTAGCATTTGGTGTTTTCCTTACTTTCTGATCTATGCTTTTCCTAATTGAGGACAGACTGAACACTGATGGGACAAAGTGTTAAGGCCACGTGTTGATGCAGTGGGAAGTGTGTGTTCTGATGGTATTAAGTTCAGGAGAGGCTTTCTAGGCAGTAAGGGGTCTGAGATGGTTTATATAACTAGAAAGCCCTGCTGACACCTTTCTGCTTGTATTTGTATTATAAGTACGAGCTGGCAAGGTTGAAGCACTTATGTGGGAGAAAAACAAGTATTCTCTCTTGCCATAACAGCATCCTCCCCTGCTCTGAATCAGGCGCTTATGTGCCCTAGAATGTGATAATAGGGTAACTGTTGGAACTATGCAGGCAGACAATAAACCAGTGAAAACACAGGGTATTCCAAATGATGCTCTGAAGAATGATGGATGGAAAAGGGATGGGGAGTGCTGGGAACACAGCATTTTATATGGAATGTTCAGAGAAGTTCTAAGTTGCCATTTAAGCTCAGTGATTTCTGTCCAGAGTGATAGGGACAGAGGAACCGCAAGTGCAAAGGCCCCGAGGCAGCAAGGTTCTTTAATGTGTTTGACAACATAGGGGAGGTCAGGGTGGGGAATTGGCTGCACTGTGGTTGTAATGAAACTCTTTTGGTTAGAAAATCGTTGCGTGGTTGGAAGAGGAAAGCATTCTATTTTTGAGCTCAGTGCTAATCAGTTTAAAATTCTTTTTACTGAGGCACAAGTGACATAAGGTAAAATTCACCTTTTTTGTAATGTAGCTCTCTGAGCTTTGATGAATGCATACAGTCATGTAACCACCATCACAGATGTAGAACATTCTGTCACCCCCAGAAATTTCCTCAGGTTCCTTTGTAGTCACTCCCTGCCCCTGTTTCCTGTCTCAATGTATTTGCCATCCCTGCAGTTTCTAGGCACAATTTTAAAACCTGTTTTTTTTTGTTTTTGTTTTTTTTTTTTTTTTCTTTAATTATTGGTATGATTTTATTTTATTTTTTATTTTTTTATATATATATTTTATTTATTTATTTATTTATTTATTTATTTATTTATTTTTACATATTTTATTGATTTTTTTTTTGCCCCCCTCCCGAAACCTGTTTTGTTTATAATCTCTTTCTTTCTTCTTTTCTGTATTTTTCTACAAGCACCTAGTCTCTTGTTTTATGCTCCACACGCAAGTCTGCCTATTTTATTGTCTCAGCACACCTTCCTCCTGCGAGGTCAAATCCTCACATCCCTCAGTAAGACACAGATCATAGGTAAACGTGAGAGAAGGGATCTGTTTCAGTGACTGCCCTTCAGTTCTCTGCTCCGTATTTGGAGAATCTGTATAGTTCTCCAAACGAATTCATGAATCTCTGTTTGTTGGGGTTCGGATAGTTTTCACGGGGCGGGGGAGGATAAGCTTTCTTCACGCTGGTATCTTTTCAATCAATGGATGTCTTGAAGGTCCAGAGGGAGCCAACCTGTTCATCTACCACCTGCCCCAGGAATTTGGCGATCAGGACCTGCTGCAGATGTTCATGCCCTTTGGGAATGTTGTGTCTGCCAAGGTTTTTATAGACAAGCAGACAAACCTGAGCAAGTGTTTTGGTATGTGGGTTTCTCTTTTGGTGTGTGTGTGTTGCGGGGTGATAAGAATTTTTACTACTGAAAAAGAAAGGGAAGGGGCTGACAGCAGAAACCTGGGATGGAGTTTGGGTGATTGTTTAACTCAGCCTTCAGTATGTGACCTCTTTTTGAGCGTCTGTGTGTTTTCCCCCAACTTCTGTAATGGGCTCAATGATTTCTGCCCACACTGTCTCTCCAGAGAATAAAATAAAGCAAAATACTTAAATGTATCATGTCGTTGTCAAAGTGGTAGTGTTTAGGAACCTAATTTAAATTTATGTGATATAATTTCCAGAATTCTTTTTCCTGCTGAGGAAAATTGGGATTTGAGGCTAAGCACATAAGGAGGACTGGGAATGTCCTTGCCTGGTTATGTCCCTCACCTAGGTTTCTGCTTGGACACACAGGTTTTGTAAGTTACGACAATCCTGTTTCGGCTCAAGCTGCCATCCAGTCCATGAACGGCTTTCAGATTGGCATGAAGCGGCTTAAAGTGCAGCTCAAACGTTCGAAGAATGACAGCAAGCCCTACTGAGCGTGCTCCCCTCTGAGACTGGAGTGAGGGTCTTCTGGTAAGTTGGGGAGGAGCACCCTTAATGATTCGAAGCCCTAAGGCTGTGTGTTGACAGCCCTGGACCCTGATCCCTGCCACTCTCGCAGGCACAGCTTGCCCCGAAGACTCGGCTACTGCCTTCTGTGGGAGTTTCGCTTCGTACAGAGGACAAGTTTGTGCTTTGGTTTCCAGTGTTTTACTTTGGAGTTTAGGTGCCATATCCTGAGGTTTTTTTGTTTTGTTTTGTTTTTTTCCTTTATTTAAAGTTTGCTGTGTTTGTAACCAGTGTATGTTGAGAAGGACCAACATCAAACCACCCTGGGGGAGGAGAGGGAATGGAGAAACGTTACAGAAGATCAGAACTTGTCCAAAACTACCCTGAGACAGGACTGAGTGAAACCAAAACTGACCCCCAGAATGTCCCTGAGTTTGAGTGGATGAAATGAGAGCTGGGGGTGGGAGGGTGGAGCTGGTGGGGTGGCTTTGAGGAGAGAGAGGGACTTGATGTCCACGGCCCTGCGAGGTGTCAGCGGAACTCTCCTATAGCTGCTTCTATGGAAGCACTGAGGTTTTGTCCAGGATTTCCGCCCCTCTTTCCCAAGAAAGGGCTAACAATTCTCTGGAAATAAAATGCCCGTTAAGTTAGCCTGACATATGCGAAAAGCAGGGAGACATCACCCATTACCAGCTGTTCCAGCCAGCCCTTGGTTTAGGGTGGGCCCTGCCAGGCTGGTGGCTGTTAAAAAGAAGCAGCCGGTCAGAGGTCAGTTTTAGTTTATTACAACAGATCGTTAAACCATGGCCTCTTTCTTACGGAGTGTCTAGGGAGACACACTGGTTTCCTTCTTTGTAGTTGACCACAGCAAGGAGTGTCATTTCATCCCAAGCTACTGTTTTATCATGAAGGCAGAACCAAGAAGGGCTGACAGTACCTGGCTGAGGGGGCACTTCTCCTGAGCAGAGTGATCAAAAGCCATCTAGTGGGGGGAGAGGAGCCTGCTTCTTGGTGCATCTGCATCAGAAGGTACCTTCAAGCTAGAGTACTTCATTTGCCAGAGGCCAGCCAACGCTTGGTACTTAAAAGGACTGAGAAATCCATGCTTGTCTCCTTGGTTGAGGTGTCCCAGATGTAGTGTTTTCATAAAGGCAGTCCCCTCCCCTAAGCACTCCAGCCCTGTCTTCTTCTCTTGGGGACAGAGGGGACAACAGGACGTTTACAGCCTCCATATGGATTTAGTATTTATTTACCTCAGTATTACCATGTTCATTTTTGTCCATGTGCTTACCGTTAGCTCCCTGCTGCCTCCCACAGGTCTTATTCCAGCTCTTGCCTGTGATCTCCCCAGTCTCTGGGCTCTGCCTCTGCTCCAAGAAATGCTTGGGGGTGGAGAGCCAGGAAGGACATGCTGTTGGGAAATGCACTTAGGCCCAGGTAGTCCTGACTTGTAATCCAGGCCAGTGACTGGGTCTCTGCGATCTTAAATTCACAGACATCAGTCCTGACCCCCAGCAGCAGAGATGAGATCAAAGGGGTTGGTTTGCTAATAAGTTGAGTGGGGACTCTCTCCTTGTCATGCTGTCCATTTGGGTCACAGACAGGGATTGGCCATCTTGCTGTTGTACAGATGTTTGGGTTATCCCACTGAAGCTGGGACAGCTGTTCCCTTCTCATAGTGATAATTGGGTCTGTTGTCCTCTAAGAAACGTGAACACTTCTTAAGCTGAACCACGTAAACTTGAATTCTGCGCACTGGGTGAAATGTGTCCTGTGTTTCAAGGATAAAACTGTTCCAAAGGCTTCCAGGGTCATGATGGGATTTTTTAAATAAATGCAAAAAATAAAATAAAAAAAGAAAAAAAAATGCTAGGTTGGGGAGGCGCTGTTCTGAATCCCAACCGGCTGGAATTAAGAATGTTGTTTCTATTTTTATAGAAGTTTTATACAGCTCCGGGGTGGAGAATATTTATTACCTAAATTATATATCTCTGGAAAAGGCCAGGATTTTGTAGAATCCAGAATGTGATTGTTATACACACAGGGTGCTGTGTATGATTGAAACTACTGACTTTCTGTAGCCTGTTTGCAGCCCAGCTAATCTGCCAGAGGGGGAAGGAATTAATGCTGTGAATTGGCGGAGGAGAGAGCTGTGCTCTCCAGGGTGCTGTGGTGCTGTGATCACTAACCTTCTGTTCTGTCTTCCTCCTTGGCCATCATGGGGTTTTCCAAATCCCAGAAGTCCACTCAGTCCCCACTCTTTCTCCCCTCTCTCTCCTCCCCCATTTCACCATCATTGTCCACAGATTTGTCCTGGGCTCTTGAGACAGTGGGAAACCCCTTTCCAAATGAAAGGCAGAGGCGTGATCAGCCTGATCAGCCTGCCGTGGGCACCACACCCTGAGGTTTCCCACCTGCTGTGGGTGTTCTTTTCTAAAAGGAGCGCTTGCCCAGCAGGGTCCTGGGCTGCCTCGGGGCCAGCGGGTGAGACTGGGCACTTCTGTCCGATCTCTTCTCCTGCCCAGTGAGTGAGCGCAGCAGCACTGCCCTCGAGCACAGTTTTCTCCCCGGGCCAAAGATGGTTTTGTGAAGAAGCTGCTCCCCTACAAGTCTCCCGGGGTGAAAGGGTTCAGCTCAGAGAGTGGAGACTCGCAGTCAAGTCTTAAGTAATCTTTTGCTGTTGTGTGGGGGTTTCACTTACATAAATATGTCTAATCATGTAGTTTTGTTTCCTACTTGGGTTTCATCATGAAATTGATTTGCCTTGAATACATCCAGACACTGTTCCCTGGGTCCCACATGAGTGACCAGGGCCTGCGTGGAAGCTAAGAGCTTGGATTTCTGGGAACAAAGGGCCACCCCTGTAGGATTGAGGAGAAATCCCGGCCCCCTCCCCTAAAGAATTCCCCCACTCCAGGCTTCTTTCTCCCTGGGTCTTTCCCAGGGAGCTGGAGAGGCCGGGGCTCTGCTCCACCGGAGATCGCACGTGTTTGGACGCTTCGGGGGAAATCCAAGCCTTAGTTTCCCTTCTGTCTCTGGCAATTGGATGTTTTCTTGGTGTCCTCCATGTCCTTTTGACTTTTCCCTGTGTCCATTGTTAGCATGTGCAAAAGTTCCCTGTCATCACCCAGCCCCCGCCCCGCCCGCCTCCTCATTTCAGGGCTGTACACAGTGAGTGTTCCTGTTCTCTCTCTCTTTGTTTGGATGTATTGCTCTGTGTAACTCAGTGGGTCTCCCTCTTTCTGGTTTGTTTTTTTTTCTAGATTCCTGCCGTTTGTTCATCGTTGTGCCTAAAGCATGTCGATGTGGCGTCAAGTACATCGTCCAAATCCCTGTCTCTTCAGCTTCTCTGATGCTTGAACTCTCACCTTTGACCTTGTGTTTGACCTTTGATGCTGATGTGTATTTTTATTATGTTTGTTTCTTTTCTTTGTTTTTTCTTTTTTCTTTCCTTTTTTTTCTTTTGTGCTGCCAAATTGGTTTTGCTAGAACGACTGCTGAAGGGGAAATATTTAAACTTGCATTTGAATATAAAAAAATCTATTTTTCTAGAACTTCATAAGATAACCACTTGATTTTGTGATTCCAATTCTTTGTAATTGTCTTCAGAGCAGCCCTACTAGCACATACCGCGTAGTGTTTGTATTTCTGTGAACACACAGCCAGTCCGTTTCTAGGCTTTGTTTCTGTGTGCTTAGTTTTAAAGACAACTTTGAAGTAAACAATGAAATAAAAGATGTCACTGAAACCTTTGAGGCTCCTGAGCACATTTTGCTGATACAGTTTGTGGGGCTTGAGGAGACCGCATGTGTTTATTTTTGTTTTCTAAGTTCTCTCTGCAGAAAACACCTAAACCCCTTTCCTTTTTGACAGCGGGCTGCAGCCCCAGCGGCCCTGTTCCTTTTGGGGCTCTGCCTGCAGCCGCCTGCAGGGAGCCTTCAGACCCCGGCCCTCCCCGGCCGCTGCCCCTTCCATGCTTGTTCCCACAGTCTCCACAGCAAAATGTGATGCTTTGATTTTTTTTTTTTTTTTTTTTTTTTTTGGTTTTTGTTTTTGTATTGTTTTTGTGCTTTTGTTTGGAATTTTTTCCTTTCCTACTAAGATTATGCCCAGAAAAAACAAGTTTTGCATGTTTCCTGCTGTTTCTTCACACCTTCTTATATATCACCTTCACCTCTCTGTTTTCTATAGTTTGTGCAAAAACTGACCGATTTAAAAGGGTTTCAAAGAAGCTGTTTTAAGTTGTTGTGGGGTTGATTATTTTTTTTCAAGATTGTATTGTTTTATTTTGAAGTGGCAACTTTCTCCTCTATTGCCCTTAGAGCGTTTGCCTGTGCACTTAGACTGTCACCTCATGTGGCCTCCAGGCCTCAGCAGGGCCTCCAGGAGGCTGGCTGCTCTGCTCAGAGATGGGTTAGGGGGCTCCCGAGAGGCAGGGGAACAGAGGCAGGATCCAGAAAGTGGCTGCGGGTGGGCAGGAGGCTTAGCGCATTAGGGGTAGCGAGCATCTCTCAGCCCAGAGGAAGGAGGGAGCTCTCAGCCACTCAGAGGAGGCCATCTGTGCACTAAGCGGCAGCACCTGCCGGCGCTTTTCCTAGGTGACAAGCACAATACTACAGTCTTCACACTGTTTACAGCCCTGGCCACCAGCCACCCACACCGGCTCTTCACCGCAGCTCTGCTCTCATTAGCTAGTGAGGTGGGGTAAGGGCAGGGGTCTGTTTTGTTAAATTGGGTGAAGAGCCAACTAGCTACTGTCCCTGGGTGCCAGGCAAACCAGCTCCTTGGTTCCCTGAAGGGAACTTGCCCTCCTCTCTGTGGCACCATCAGCCTCAGGGTCTTAGGGTTTGAGTAAGAATGTAAATGGCGGAGCAAGAGCCAGGGGAGGGGAGGGTCACAGGATGATCTGTGAAGGTAAGAGGTTGCAGAGAGAGGAGTTTGTGCTAGATCCCACCCAGAGAAGAGCTAAGCTGCTGGTGGGCGGGAG